GTTCCAAACTGTCTTACCGTCTTTCCAAAGACCATTTACGTCATGCCCTATTCAACTTTAGACCATTCATATCTTGTATTACTTAACTTTACTCCATTCACATCTTGTTTTACTTAATTTTATATCATTCACAGCATGTCTTACTTAACTCTTAAACTATTTACATCATATCTTATTTAAAATTTGGTCCATTCATAGTATATGCTATTGAATAGACAGGTTTTGAATAATGTCGCATTTAGTACTTCACATATTCATATAACCGAATATATACATTAATATAATACAAACAATAACTTATTATCCTGTAGCGAATGTTTTTACATGTTGTATAAAGTTTATTCTGTAGAACAGAGAAGATAAACGAATAAAATATAACGTACATGGATTTTAAACAAATCTTATTTCTGACTGCATTTAACATTTTTGGAGTATTCTCTATGGTTTATGCACACAACGAAATAGTCCAGTTTACAAATACGAGTTTGGAGTTTGAAAGGGATATTCATCTGTTTTAACTAAACCTTCTCAATGGGCCATTTATGGATTTCCAGCACTGCATGCCCATCTATGCTCAGATGGCAGTGTTATGTTCAGTCTCAGAAGTTTTCAGCTAGATTAAACCTGCAGCAGTCAACATGAAATCTGAAATATATGTATTACTTATGATTTATTGGAGAACCAGAGTACGAAATTTTCTGGTTAGCACACCGTAAAGAGAGTTGAGACCACTGTATTAAGAAAAATCTGAAGTCAGGTGTGATAATCTATTAGACCTGAAGAATGGTTGAAATATCCGTGCAGATAGCTGTCATTCTTTCCTAACAGAATCTTTGTTGTTGAACATGAAGCTTTGAAATGAGCTATCTGAGTTCCACTCACAAAAGGGGATCTAATCCCGAATTTTAGTGTTTTAAGCCCTCGGATTACCGCTGAACCTTCGGGGGACGCTATTAGAAAATAAACTAAAATCATATATAGCATATCTATTTCATAGTTCCCCTAGAAGTTCAACTTTTAAACCAAATCAGATGTGGGTAAAAGATTTACTCATCTAAAAATATAAGAGTTCTTACGTTTGTTACTAAGAGGAAAATGTAAGGTAATATATATACTTACACGACGTTCAGCTTTTGTTCTGATATTTAAAGGGATCTGCAGATAGTAAAGTATAACATATTAGAGAATATCTTTTGTTATATTTCATTTTGACCTATTTAGTGTTTATTTGTGACTATTACTATTAGGCATTTACTTATGTATCGACTGTTCTACGTCTATTTTCAGGAAGGAAATCATGATCCATATCTATGACAACGAGAGTTATGAAAGAGATATTTTGTTCTACGTTGAGTTGGGAGACCCGAAAATCTTAACTGTAGACCATTCACATGGTGTTTGCTTAACTGTAAACCATTCACATGGTGTTTTAATTAACTGTAGACCATTCACATCGTGGTTTCCTTAACTGTAGACCATTCACATGGTGCTTAATTTAAATGTAGACCATTTACATGATGTTTGATTTAACTGTAAACCATACACATGGTGTTTAACTTAACTGTAGACCATTCACATCGTGGTTTCTTTAACTGTAGACCATTCACATGGTGCTTAACTTAACTGTAGACCATTCACATCGTAATTTGCTTAACTTTATACCAATCAGGTCGTGTTTTACATAACTTTTCTGTAAACCATTCACATGGTGTTTTAATTAACTTTAGACCATTCGCATGGTGTTTAACTTAAATGTAAATCATTCACGTGATGTTTAACTTAACTGTAGACCATTCACATGATGTTTACCATTCACATGGTGTTTTAATTAATTACAGTTAATTAAAACACCATGTGAATGGTCTACAGTTAATTAAAACACCATGAGAATGGTCTACAGTTAAGTTAAACATCATGTGAATGGTCTACAGTTAAGTTAAACATCACGTGAATAATTTACATTTAAGTTAAGCATCATGCGAATGGTCTAAAGTTAATTAAAACACCATGTGAATGGTCTACAGTTAATTAAAACACCATGTGAATGGTCTACAGTTAATTAAAACACCATGCGAATGGTCTAAAGTTAAGCAAACCACGTTGTGAATGGTTTACAGTTAAGTTAAACATCATGTGAATGGTTTACAGTTCATTAAAACACCATGCGAATGGTCTAAAGTTAAGCAAACCACGTTGTGAATGGTTTACAGTTAAGTTAAACATCATGTGAATGGTTTACAGTTCATTAAAACACCATGCGAATGGTCTAAAGTTAAGCAAACCACGTTGTGAATGGTTTACAGTTAAGTTAAACATCATGTGAATGGTTTACAGTTCAGTTAAACATCATGTGAATGGTTTACAGTTAAGTTAAACATCATGTGAATGGTTTACGGTTAAGTTAAACATCATGTGAATGGTTTACAGTTAAGTTAAACATCAT